AGTGGATCCTGCAGTAGAACACATTTGTTGTGTTTAAAACAGGCCAATAACGAAAGAAACTTTAACAGAAATCAGCCGATTGGATTTGAGATAAGTCTTTGAAAGCTAAACGTTTAAAGCCAGACTGGACTGATCTGGAGGATGCTGTGTACGCTTAGGAGTTTACTGGATGTTGCTGACCCTCTGTTTTTTTCTGTATAAAAGAGTAACCACCTTTCAGGTCAGGTGGCTGAAGGTTTTGTTCAGGTGGTTGTTGTGAGGTTTACGAGAAAGGTACATTAGTCTGCGGCCCTAAGTGCCCGTCAGAGCGAAAGCACCCATCCCTCATGTACATTCCTTATTATGACACCTTCTGTTGGCAGGCGTACCAGCTACTGTCCCCTGGAGCGGTGACTTCTGATTTAAACAGGATTCCCATCTGTTCTGGTATGAAAATTCGGCAAATCCTAAATCTTACCAAAAAGACATAAATCTGGGAAAGGTGTTTTTTTTTTTTTTTTAAATAGTGATGAAAGAGGGGGAATGTTGACATCTGGTGGCCTTCTGACAGTATTACATGCCAACATTTCACTATTACTGCATGCGACCTTTCAGTCCCAACCTAGAGCTATAGCTTGGTTTACATAGGCTATTCCTAGAAAATTCTCATAGAAGAAAAATTCTGTTATTTAATAATCATATTCTTTATTACAATTTCCTGGACTCGTTTTAAAACAATGTATTTGTAAATTTCAGCACTTGTCCTAGAGAAGAACTCTACACCAGTGATGTCTGTCCCCCCCTTTCAGGAGGCGGGGCATCAATAAAACATGATATTGTTTTATTAGTCTTCTCTGAAGGAAGTTGCTAACTTGTAAAATATATTTAAATGCAAGCATTTTTAAAACAGACTTTTTATTTTAGAGCAGGTTTAGATTTACAGAAAAGCAGCTCCCTATTATTCTGGTACACGTGTCACAAGTAATGAACCAACATCAGTCTGTTACCATCAGCTAAACTCCACATTTTATTCTGATTTCACCAGAGTACTAGTCAGGTTCTTCAGAGAAGCAGATCGGACAGGATGAGTTAGTGAGTGTGAGAGCGTGTGTGTGTGTGTGGGGGGGGGGGGGTTGCGTATGCGGAAAGGGAGAGAGATTTTTTTAAAAAATTGGTTCACCTGATTGTGGAGGCTTGGTAAGTCCAAAATCTGCAGAGGTGACAGATTATTTTGGATGTTGCAATTATATTTTAGAAAATAGGTGAATTTGCAAATAGTGAACCAGAGAATTTCAGAGGTCGGATGAGGTCCACTGCATGATGAAGGGTCATGTGTTTCACTAAGAGCCCACTCAACTAGTATTAACCACGACCACCACTTGCCCCGGTGCTCTTCCGCTCTTCCAGGGTCCACTGTACGTTACACGGGTTTGTCACGCCTCCTCGGTGTCCTCTGGTCCGAGACAGTTTCTCAGACCTTCTTGTTTTGATGACCAATATGGTTTGGAGGAGCCCTGGTCGCGTGCTTTATGGAATGCCTCTCCACTGGGGTTCGCCTGTGTTTTCATTATGGTGAGACTGGGGTTGTGGGCTTGGTGGGGAAGGCCACAGAGGGGAAGTTCTGGTCTCATTGCCTCATCGCAAGGGTGCACATCAACATGACTCCTGGCGGATGGTGTCAGCCTTGACCACCTGGCTCTGGGAGTGCTTGTCAGGTCCCCCCCTGTGAAGTCACCCCCTGCTTCCACACTGCAGTCAAGGTCCCACTCAAGCTGGGAGAAGAAGGCGTGAGGCCCGCCTCCTGGAAACGGGAAATACACATCACTGGTGTGGAGTTCTTCTGTAGGAAATCCACCTCTTCTTTCCCATTTGCTTGTTTCTCTCAGTATGGGCTTCTGGAAATTTACCTTGCACTTTAGTTGTGATGCAATAGCGCATGACTTGTTCCTCAGGCTGGTCCAGCTTTGACCGACTGGGGCTCTTGCACGTTGGCTTGTGACATGCTCTCATTCTTTTGTTATTTTTGTTTTTGTGTTTTGAGCACTTTCCTACAGTCTGGCAGTATAAGACGCTCCAGGTACATTTTGTATTTCCCTGCCCCAGCCAGAATCAGCCCCTTCTCCAAGGAGCCCTGGTCCCTCTGCTGGAGAATGGCATTTGGTGTGGTCTGAATGTTCGTGTCCCCCAAAATCCATAGGTTGAAAGCTCTCTCCAGTGAAGTGGCACTAAGGGTGGGGCGTTTAGGAGGCGATCAGGTCATGATTGCAGAGTCCTTGTGAATAACAGAGGGCCTAGGGGGCTTGTTCACCCTTCGGGCCATGTGAAGACACAGCTGGAAGGCACCCAGACACTGAATCTGCCGCCACCTTGGTCTTGGATTTCCCAGCCTTCAGACCTGTGGGAAATAGGTAATGGCAAAACCCGCAGTTACTTTTGCACCAACCTAATACATTTCTGTTGTTGATAAATCACCCAGTCTGCGTCAATACAGCAGCCCAAATGGACTAAGCAGTGTTAGGAATCACCATCTAGGCACTGGAGATGCTCACTGCTACTGGAGAAGCTCTGTGGTTAGAGAGATGACATAGTTGTATGTATATGTGTATATTTAAAGAGCAAGGACACCGTTCTGATATGTACAACTTTCAGTGTACGTGACACCCATGTAAAGCCAGGACTGCTCATACTGGATAAATATGAAAGATGATATGTAATTTTTACATATTATAGTGCATAATATTAAAATGAACTGGTTAGTACTCCACCTAACATTAAAAAAAAACACTCAGGCCAGGCGCGGTGGTTCACGCCTGTAATCCCAGCACTTTGGGAGGCCGAGGCGGGTGGATCATGAGGTCAAGAGATCGAGACCATCCTGGTCAACATGGTGAAACCCCATCTCTACTAAAAATACAAAACATTAGCTGGGCATGGTGGCGCGTGCCTGTAATCCCAGCTACTCAGGAGGCTGAGGCAGGAGAATTGCCTGAACCCAGGAGGCAGAGGTTGCGGTGAGCCAAGATCGTGCCATTGCACTCCAGCCTGGGTAACAAGAGGGAAACTCTGTCTCGAAAAAAAAAAAAAAAAAAAAAACCACTCAGTTTAAGTAACTCAATGCTTTAAATGCTGAAAAAAAGAATCATTTAACTTACAACTTATTATGTATCTATACGCACTTTCCAAAATTTGTTTCTCATTCACACAAGGAAGACAATATTATTAGCCTTGCTCTAGCTAACATCTGCTCAAAGCATTAAGTTACCAGCTCAGGATCTCACGGCTAGGGCAAGAGGGAGCCAGCATTTGAAATCAGGTCGAGTTTTAGAGGAGGTAAATGTTGCTTATAATTTTTGGAATAATTTTGTATTTTATATTACTAATTTTCAGAGGGTGATCACGTAGTCACATATACCACTTGTTTTTTTTGAGACAGTGTCTTGCTTCATCCACCCAGGCTGGAGTGCAGTGACGTCACCACAGCTTACTGAAGCCTCCATCTCCTGGGCTCTAATCATTCCTCCCACTTCAGCCTCTCAAGTAGTTGGGACTACAGATCTGTGAGAACACACCAAGCTATTTAATTTTATCTTTTTTTATAGAGACAAGGTCTCACTATGTTGCCCAGGCTTGTCTTGAACTCCCAAGCTCAAGAAATCCTCGCCGCTTGGCCTCCCAAAGTGCTGAGGCACTGTGCCCAGCCTATATCATTTATTTTATCCTAATGAATTCTCCAAAGTAGGCTAAGGCAGACCTATTATTGTGGAAATTGAGGTTTCCAATTTGTAATTACTGGGGCCGGGGTCCTTGCCATTAAAATGTAAAACACTTAATAAGATAGAAAGAGTTACATACTTTTCAATTCTCAATTAGGGTTTAAATAATCAAGGAAAGATGGAAAATATATGGAATAAGTACAAATAACATTGTATTAGGTTTCTCCAGAAAAAGAGCCAATAGGAGATCTATGTCTACCTCAAAATCTGTATCTATATATATTTGTATAAAGAGATTTATTACAAGGACTTAGCTGATTGATTATGGAGCTGACTAGTCACAAGGTCTTCAAGGAGAAAGGCCAAGTTGGAGACCCAGGAGAGTCAGTGAAGTAGTTCCAATCCCAGTTGCCAGTGTCTGTGGTTTTTGCCTTTTTGTGAATATCTATTCCGACTTGTGTGAGATGGTATCTCATTGTGGTTTCGAATTGCATTTCTCTAATGATAGGTGATGTTGAGCTTTGTTCTATATGATTGCTGGCCACATATATGTCTTCTTTTGAAAAGTGTCTGTTCATGCCCTTTGCCCACTTGTTTATGGGGTTGTTTTTTTTTTCTTGCAAATTTGTTTTTAAGTTTTTTAAAGATACTGGATATTAGAGCTTTGTTGGATACATGAAATATAAGTGTAAAATACACACTGGATTTCAAAACTTACTACACAAATTTTTAAAATATCTATTATTTTTTATGTTAAAATGATAATATCTTAGCTATATTAGATTAAATAAAATATATCATTAAAATTAATTGTCCCTGTTTCTTTCACTTTATAAATGTGAATCCTAGAAAATTTAAAATTGCATGTATTCACATCATATTTCTGTCAGACAGTGGTGATCTAAACCCATCCAACGTGAAGATTTTATCACTTTAATCTTTAAGCAAGCAACATAGCTTTAGATTTTGAAATTTGAGAGAAGGGAAAAATGAATTAAGGAACGGTTCAGGTTTTGAACAGAAGTCATAGGAAATATAAAAGTCAGGACTTGATGGGTTCGTGAAACTTTGACCATCACAATCTCTCCGCACAAAACTGAAAAATGGCCTCTGTGCAAAGATCAAATCCTAGGCAGTTGTAAAGGTGAAATCAAAGGTTTGTGTTATTAAGATGTCAGATTTAGGGGTATCTCATAGATCCTCTAGGAGAAACAATAAGACTTTAAAAAAATCGTAAGAGAATTGTCCCACATCTATCTCAAAGGTGGACCAAAGGCCCATCTCAGAGAAGCCATTGTGGTTTGTGACTAGTGGAAGGGGTGAACTCTGATAAAATAATGGAAGGGGTGAACTCTGACAAAATTCAAAGAAAACCACAAGGTTCTAAGAGAACTATATTGGCAGAGTGATGGAAGCACCGCTGGCTTAAACTAAAAGGGGCACAGATTTTTGGACCCCCTTCTCGGCCTTCTGTGGAAGAAAGCAGGGAGGCTACTCAGTTGCAAACTTAGGCCATTTCTTATCCCTGAGGAAGTCTCAGAGGGTAGAAGCAAGAGCCCAGAGGATGGAGCTAAGGGCTGGGAAGAAGGCAGGGAGAAGTGAGTCCTCCTCAAGGCACAGGTGGCACAGCCTGCTGCAACCCACAGTGGCTGCTGTGTGGCTCTGCTGCCCCTCCTGTCAGACAGGTGCCCTCTGCTGCCCCTCCTGTCGGACAGGTGCCCTCTGCTGCCCCTCCTGTCGGACAGGTGCCCTCTGCTGCCCCTCCTGTCGGACAGGTGCCCATTGCTGCTGTCCTGGCTCTGTCTCACCGTTGTCGGCTGGATGTGGGGAAGGTTGCCTTCTCTCTTTAGTTCACAGGTCTTCAGATGTAAAGGAAATACCCCAAGCAGAAGCCTTATCCATACGTGGAGGTGCTTTAGATGATGAAACTTCTGAGCATCTTGAGAGAGCTGGGTGTATCGTGCCTGTGGAGCGGTGTAAATGACGTGTGGCCAGAGGAGGGTTATGGCAGACTATAGACGGCCATCGGTTCTTCCCACTGTGAGGGGAGGGGGTCTGTTTTCCAACTCTTTCATTCTGGGACTGCTTTGATCATGGAGTACAGTGGAGGAGACACTGCCGGCTGCAGCCTTGAATAGAGCTGACAGCTCCTACCTTGCTTTCTTGGAGCCCTAAGCCGACATGTAGAAATCCTGACTATTTCACTGGAGGGGCTACTTGGAGAAGTGTGGAGGCCGCATGAGAGAGGGTCCATCTGAGGCCATGCTTCTAGCCACTCCCCACTGTGTGGTGTAGACACGTGAGTGAAGCCTTCTCAGACCCTCCAGACCAGGCCACCCTCTACCTATATGCCACTGAGCGGCCCCACATGGAGCAGGAGAATCGCTCAACCTGCCGGAATTCCTGAATTCTGTGGCTCATGAGCATAGCAAAGTGGCTGTGGATTTAATCTACTACATTTGGGGTGATTTGTTACAGGATAATAGTTATCTGGAACATACTCACACCCATACATCCTAGCTGCGTGACCTTGAACATATTACTTAAAGTCTCTGTCATCAGTATTTTCATCAACAAAATAGTGATAATAGTATCTGCCTACTATGGGTATTAAGTTATATATGTAAAATAATATATGTAAGAATATATGTAAAATAATATATATAAAAGTAAAAGCAGCTGGCCTATGTTTGGATCTTAAATGACTTTGTGTTTGATTTTTACTTTGTTTTTGAGGCAGGGTCTTGCTCTGTTACCCAGGCTGGTCTTGAACTCCTGGGTTCTAGTGATCCTTCCACCTTGGCCTCCCAAAACAACTGTGGTTACCTGTGTGAGCCATCACACCAGGCCACTTACTTTTGTACTACCTCCTGCCCCTGGCAATATAAGTAATATCAGCGGTGGGGAGCTGGGGAGAGAGAGCATGGGGAGAAATGCCAGACATAGGTGATGGGGAGGAAGGCAGCAAATCACACTGCCATGTGTGTACCTGTGCAATAATCTTGCATGTTCTTCACATGTACCCCAAAACCTAACATGCAATTAAATTTAAAAGAAAAAAGAAACTATACACAATAATAATTTTAAAAAAGTAATAACAGCAGGGCAGGGTGGACTTCAGATACCATCAGTTTTCCTGATATGGATACACTTACACACATATCACATATATACATGTATCAGGATTTAAAATCTCATTGACTTTATAATTTATAACCACTTAGCACTTTTATAAAAGTGGGGAGGATCCCAGTGTCCTTAGTTCAACAATGGATTGCTGTTTTTTCATTTGTTTGTCTTTGAGATGGAGTCTCCCTCTGTCGCCCAGGCTGGAGTGCAATGGGCAATGGCACCATCTTGGCTAATGCAACCTCGGCCTCCTGGGTTGAAATGATTCTTGTGCCTCAGCCTCCTGAGTAGCTGGGATTACAGGCACACACCACCACACCCAGCTAATTTTTATATTTCAGTAGAGACTGGGGTTTCGCCACGCTGGCTGGGCTGGTCTGGAACTCCTGATCTCAAGTGATCCACCCACCTCAGCCTCCCAAAGTGCTGGGATTACAGGCGTGAGCCACCCTGGCTGGACTACTGTTTTTGTTACTGGTAGTGGTTCCTTATCATGCTGGGGCGGTCCATCAGAAATAAACTGGGCTTTTTACTAAAAACTCAGAGAAACATGATTTATTTCTGTAAACGGAGGATATTGGGCAGCAGAAATAATTTGTACGTGTTGAAACTTAGATGGCCTCAGCTCTCAAAAGAGACTGGCTATGGCAGGACCGGGATGAAACGTGTACCGGCACTCAGTGAACTAACTGTCATTACTAAAATCCCTGTCCTGAACCCTTCTTAGACCCTGCAGACCAGACCACCCTCCACCTGTATACCACTGAGCGACCCCACGTAGAGCAGAAGAATCACTCCACCTGCCGGTATTCCTGAATTCTGTGCAATATGAGCATAACAAAATGACTTGATTACTTACATGCGGGGTGGTTTGTTCTACGGGGAAAGGCATGCTTAGTGCAGTGCCCACCCTCTGAGACTAGGCTCAGAAAATGCAGTTCCCCTCCGGCCCTCACCCCTACCCCCCTTAGCATTTGAAAAGGACGGCTTGCCAGTTTCACCGGCTCACAGGAGAGCCCAGCTGCTCTGCTCCTGGTGTGATCCTGGGCCTCCAAAACGGAATCAAGCGCGCGTTAATAACGCAGGCGGAGGCCTGCTCCGGGCTGCGTGAGCCTGCAGGGCAGGACGGGCGGGGACGGGCCCCGTCTTGAGTGTGTCTGCCTAGATCTAGCGTTCCCGTTGGTGGGGTAACGGGGCTCGCATTGACCCGATCCAGGCTTCACTTTAAACTCAATGGCCCACTCCCCACCCCAGCCCGGCGTCCGCAGCCTTCGATGGGGCGGGGGGGGGGACAGGCGAGATGGTCCTGTGGCTCTTCTTTCCTTCTTAAGTGGGTGAAATCCGATTTGGAAGAGGGAGGGGCAGCCAGCACCTGCCTGCATAGCCCCGGAGACCCGGAAGGCGTAGGGAGGCTGGGCTGTGCGCTGCGGGGCGGCCCTGGGTTGAGAAACCCGCCCGGCAGGGAGCCGGGGTGGGCGGCGCGGCCTGGATTAGCGGGTGGGCCGGGCCGGCGAGGGCGCAGCGCAGGGCGGAGGAGGCGGCGCCGCGCGCGGGCGTGGGGAGGATCTGGAGAGGGAAGGGGCGCGCGAGCCTCGCGGACCCCGGGCGCGCCCGGGCCGCCTGAGCTGGGCCGGAGGCGCGGTGGGCGCAGGCTCGGGCGGGCGGGGAGCCCCGGCCCGGGGGTGGCGGGGGCCGCGGGCGCGCGTGACCAGCTGTCCGCGTGGGTCCCGCGCGCGCTGCCCCTCCCTGACGGTGCCCCAGCCTAGCGCTGGGCCCAGCGCGGGTTCCGCGAGCACAGGCCTGGGGCTGATCGTGATCGGGTGAGTCTCATCCGCAGCCGGGCTCGCCTTCCGGCCGCTCCGCGGGCGACGTGCGCGGTGTCCTCTGCCCGGTGCCGGCTGCGTCTGGCCCGGACTTCCCTGCGGGCACCGGGGAATGGTGCGGCCTTCCCCGGCACGGCTCACGCCAAAAGCACTCCTCCGTGGCCGCGGCCGCGCCTGGGACTTGCTCGTCTCGGTCAGGGGGGTGCGAGTGTTGCGCGCTGAGGAGCGGCTTCCCATGGCCACCCTGGAGTGTCCGTGTGTGCCGCCCGGTCCAGAAAACCAGCCTGCACTTCAGAGTACAGTGCTTATGTCAACTTAGGAATAGAAAATTCTGAAAGCTGCTGTCAGTGTTTGACACTAGAATTTCTACAGAGCAGTGCGGCAGGGGTTTGTGGACCGTCAAGAAGCAACCTAAAAAAGTAACTCTTTCCCTGACAGCTGGAATGGAGCCATGGAGATTGGAACTCCCCCTTAACCTCCATGCCCCAGCAAATGAGTACAATATAGTTCAGTGCTGCACTTCAGTCCACCCCACGGAGCTCTGGGTCCTGTCCCCACGTCAGCAGCCTTGCTACATTTAAAGAGCATGGCCGGGAACTAGTGTAGAACCTGCATGTCTACATATTGCGTAATAGAAGTTTCGTAGACAGGCCACCTCATTCAAGTTTTCAGACCCTTTAGGATGCATCTGGTAAGTTGTGTAGACTTTCTTAGACTGTGTAGGATATATACTAGTCCATAATTTACGTGGGGATTAAAGAGGTTCAACATTATACCTGGAGGAACTGTGCAGTTCTTGGTTAGAAAATAGAGAAACCAAAAGAACTAAAAGAAAATGTGACAGAAAAGAAAGGGATTTTCTAGGCTTTGCTCTTAATTCATGACGTTAGTCACTTGTGGTCCCGGAGAGACATGCAGCTCAGTGGCCTGGGCCCCGGAAGAAACTCCATCCCTATCTTCCTTGTGCTCGTGGGTAGTCATTGAGATAGGGGCTTGAATTCCTGTTCGCCTAGTTTTTTGTGTGAACTCTGTGGTCAAGTTTGTATGTTACTACACTGAACTCTGAAGCTCAAAAAATTGCTCAAAAGGAGACACGGAGGGGAAGGGCAGAGAAGAAAAGCGATGGAGAAATGGGATGGAAGCAGGGGCGGTTTTTTTTTTTTTTTTTTGAGACGTAGTCTCACTCTTGTTGCCCAGGCTGGAGTGCAATGGCGCAATCTCGGCCCACCGCAACCTCCGCCTCCCGGGTTTAAGCGATTCTCCTGCCTCAGTCTCCCAAGAAGCTGGGTTACAGGCATGCACCACCATGGCTGGCTAATTTTTGTATTTTTAGTAGAGATGGGGTTTCTCCATGTTCGTCAGGCTCGTCTTGAACTCCCGACCTCAGGTGATCCGCCTGCCTCAGCCTTCCCAAGTGCTGGGATTACAGGCGTGAGCCACTGCGCCCTGCCGGAAGTAGGGGAGTTTTAAGGCATCTGATTTATAATAATCGGTGTGGCTGTTACCCAGCTTCCATTTCCCACTCCCCTGCATCCCAAGACATCCTGGCCTCAGCTCCGCATCCAAGACAGTGGGAAGCCTGGTCCTGAAAAGGATATGCTGCGTTGTGAAGTGACACGAGTTCCTCTGTTTTGTAAATAATTTTCTTCTTAATTTGAAAAGACATTCCACCCTTTCCCCTGAAAAAGAGTGAATTTCCTAGAGGAAGAAATTATTCATTGAAAACAAAACAAACTGGCATGCGTCCCATTGTGAATTTAGCTCTGACTTTGCACAAAAGGCGGAGGAGGAGCTAGAAGCAGGAAAGGTGGTCTTGAGCAGAGCAGACGCCCCATTTGGAGGTGAAAACCACTGGGGGGGGAACATCAGCTCCCAAAAGAGGAGCTGTGAGTTTTTAACTAGTAAAAAATGCAAAATTATCCAATAATGTCTTGAATCTGGGGAATATTTTCATATCCAGTCACAATGTAATCCTATGTTTCAGGCATAAGTCTTCAGAGTAATTCTATAGTGAAAATGAATTCTGCATTTGAGTTGCTAATTTCATCTTTGCCTGTTGATTCTTTCAACAGAGGGCATCTTTTGTGTGATGAGCGTGATTTCCGGTGCTTAGATTAAAAGATGAATAAGGTGTCAAGGTCACAGCAAAAAGTTAAAATGTGAAAAGAGCTGTATAACACAAAATGTTATGGGAGGCCCAAAGAAACAAGAACACAGCATCTTCATAGAGGAGCATGTGGAGATGATGACAGCAGTGAAAGGCCAGGTGCGGTGGCTCATGCCTGTAGTCCCAGCAGCTTTGGAGGCTGAGGCAGGAGGGTCACTTGAGCACAGGAATTCAAGATCAGACTGGGCAATATAGCGAGACCCCATCTCTACAAAACATTACAAAGCCAAGCGTGGTGGTAGACACCTGTAGTCCCAGCTACTGGGGAGGCTGAAGGTGGGAGGCTAACTTGAGGCCTGCAGGTTGAGCTGTGATCCTGCCACTGCCCTCTAGCCTGGGCAGCACAGCAAGACCCTGCGTGAAATAACAGTAATAATAATCTAACAATACTAGCAGTGAGCAAGTAAACCTGTTTTTATCCAGCACTGATTAAATACTTCACATACTTTGTCTGCAGATATGGACACTGTGCTCAGGAGAGGAAAAGTGACTTGCTTGAAGCCTCAGTGGCAGAGCAAATTTGAACCCCCTATGATTGTTCTATAGGTGTGTGTCATAAAAGAACAACGTTTTAGTTAGTTCATCATGCGGAATTTTAAAATTCTTTCTCGATCATATGTTAACTCATATGCCCGTATGTTTTTCTTAGTGTGCCAAACAAATCTGTTTGATGTAATTTTTAGTTGATTGTTATGTTATTAGTATTTGTTTATTGAGTCACATGTAAGCAAGAAATAATGAATGGCTTGAAAGCAACTGAAGAGGGCTAAAGGTAAAACGGTTTGTCAGCATCAAGTTTGTTCTGTGTTCTTTTCTCTGGTGACCTTTCACACCTTTATTCTCAGAGTTACCTGGTTGTACTTAAGATATGTAAGCAATAAGGAGAAGAAAAAACATCATATAATTCTATTATTCTCTCTTGCTCTTGCACAAGGCACATCTATGGAAGGCAGAGGTCCTTGCTAATCTGCACATGGTAATAAATTGATTTTAAGAAATTCCCTTTGTTGGCTGGGCGTGGCGGCTCACGCCTGTAATCCCAGTACTTTGGGAGGCCAAGGCAGATGTATCACTTGAGGTTAAGAGTTCGAGACCAGCCTGACCAACATGGCAAAACCCCGTCTCTACTACAAATACAAAAATTAGCTGGGTGTGGTGGCAGGTGCCTGTAGTCCCAGCTACTCAGGAGGCTGAGGCAAGAGAATTGCATGAACCCAGGAGGCAGAAATTGCAGTGAGTGGAGATCAGTTAGGTAGCATTATAATTGAAAGCAAAAGCAAACTTTAAAAAAATGCATGCTTGGGTGGTGTCCTTATTAGAAATATTAAAAGTTGAAGTTTTTCCTGATTCATTACCATATCTTATGTTAATATATGTTTTATTTGTAAGGGAAAATAAGGTTTCTATTAAAGAACAGAAGTTGTTATTAAACATTAGGAAGATATTTTGACTAGAGGAAGTAAATGTTTTAAGCGGTTCGTTGAAAGGACATTTCAATGATTAACAGGAGCTGTGCTATACCAGTTAGGCTTAATCGTTTATTTAACATCTAGATATGAAATGGGGAATAAAACAGAAGAAATACCTTTTATTTAGAAATAACAAACAGCAATGCTAAATTAAAGTGAGTTAGATATCTGTGAGCCTTCTAGGTGACTTGAAAGAATTTGATGTTTCTTAGTTAACATGGGATTAATGATTTTTTTACTGGAGGGCTTGTTGGGTTTTGCAAGTATAAGGGGCCTGGTCAAGGGTCAACTGGGACCTGAAATTCCTGAAATACTGTGAACTGTTTGGGAGCAACTTTCACTTATCTGGCTAAGTCACAAAAAGTTGATGTTGTTTTTAGTTCACATAAAGGTGCACGTAGGCTAATGGAAACCTTGATTTTAAGAAAAATAAAAAATGGACTGGGACAAGCGGCTAAAGCCTGTAATCCCAGCACTTTGGGAAGCCAAGGCAGGTGGATCACGAGGTCAGGAGTTCAGGACCAGCCGGGCCAACATGGTGAAACCCCATCACTACTAAATATACAAAAAAAAAAAAAAATTAGCCGGTCATGGTAGTGGGCGCTTGTCATCCCAGCTCCTCAGGAGGCTGAGGCAGGAGAATCGCTTGAACCCAGGAGGTGGACGTTGCAGTGGCCTGAGATTATGCCACTGCACTCCAGCCTGGGCAACAGGGCGAGACTCCGTCTCAGAAAAATAGAGAAAGAAAAGAAAAAGAAAAATGACAAGGCCCTAAGCCTCAGTTTCTTGAGGATGTGGTGTGTGTGTGTGTGTGTGTGTGCATGTGTGTATGTGCGTGCGCACAAACTTATGCACAGGTGGGTTTGGAGGAATGTGGCAGAAGAAGAGGAGGAACTGTATACAAAAAGGAAATTTAAAAGTCTTAATGAATAAAACTATATTATTACACTAGGGAGACTTTTCATGTTTTGTTTTATTTCCAGAAGAGGACTGTCAGAAGGATGTAGAAGGCCCAGTTTTTCTGTGAGAAGCAAAGATCTTTTACCTACACATTTTACAAGACATGTGCAGCAAGCCATTGATAAATATACCTGGTAAGAATTCATCTTGTTCATTGCCTCAGATTGCAAAACCACAAGATGCCCGTAACCAATGTGGGAAGCAAAATCAGTGATTAGACACATTTCTAAAAGTGAAATGCAGTTTTATTGTTAGCCTAGTGTAAACGTCACACTGTAAAAATACTTCGAAATTAGTATACTGTGAAATTAACAAATACATTAATGAAAGAGCAAGCAGCCTCAGAGAAGTGAGGCCACTGTAGCAGTCCGAGCCCTTCCAGTAACTGTGATTTCTTTGCCTGTGTTCAATCCCGCAGCGAGTCCCCGCCATCGTTTTCCTCCAGCGGAAGCTCCACACCCACGGGAGGCCACACCTCTTGGTCTGGATCAGCCACGCAGAGCTCCACCACCGGCTCATCCACGGAGAGGGGCTCCCTTTATTCCTGGAGAGATGACGTAGGTCTTGGAATATTTTGGATCATCTTGTAATTACAATTTATAGTGGAGAATTGCTTCCTTAAGTTCAGTTTGTTTTACCAATTATAAACACATGGCCTACTGCGTACATACATGTACATACATATGCAAGCATGTACATGTTACATGTGAAAATAACAGATCGCCAACTATGGAGAAAAGTAAAACTCGTGATCTCCTGGCCCCATCTTAGCTGCCGGCAACCTTCTTGTTTCCAACCTGCAGCCAGCTCTCCGGTGTGTTCCCTGGGACTTCTTAGGTGGTATCCATGGCCAGAAATTCAGGACAAACCCTGACAACTAAATACTTGAATAAGCAAAACTGTTGGAAAAGTAAAAGTTGTGACAGTCGCTAAGATGAGAGACCCCCCCCACCCCACATCGCCAGTATTCCCAGTCAGATATTTTGCCTTCACCTCGTACCCCTGGGAGAGTTGTTGCCTCCACGGCTCAGCTCAGCTTGCTCAGGAACTCAGTGGCTCCACTGTCTCCTCCCTCCAAGGGTCTCCGAGAATCCCAGGACACAGCCTTCTGTAACGCCCGCCTGGCTACAGCACCTCGGGTGTTCTGTTTTACCTCGTTTGTGCTGTTTTTCTTTCCTTCCTTTTCTTTTCTTCTTCTTGTTTTTTTTTTTACAGAATCTTGCTCTGTTGCCCAGGATGGAGTACAGTGACATGATCTCCAGGATGGAGGTTCACTGCACCCTCCGCCTTCCTGGTTCAAGCGATTCTCCTGCCTCAGCCTCCCGAGTAGCTGGTTTTACAGGTGCGCGCCACCATGCCCACCTAATTTTTGTATTTTTAGTAGAGACGGGGATCTCACCATGTTGGCCAGGCTTGTTTCCAACTCCTGACCTCAGGTGATCCTCCTGCCTTGGCCTCTTAAAGTGTTGGGATTATAGGTGTGAGCCACTGTGGCTGGCCTCTTTGCTTTCTTTAAAAGTGATTCTCCACTCCCATAGCGCATGTGAATCCGCTTTTGCCTGCAGCTGTACAGCTGTGATTCTCAGGGGAGCTGGCAATGGAGGGGCACCAAAGGGGTCTGGAAGGGACCCAGCTCAGCACTGCTTAGAGGACCTTTCATGCATGCGCCTCCCTCACTTGGGGCAGCTGCCTCAGTCCTCACCCTGACACCCACTCCCCGCCGCCCCTCAAGCCTACCTTTCTTGGAAGAAGGCTGACACCACTGCTTCATAGTGCCTAAATCCTAGGATTCTTTTAGTGCAACATTTAATGGAATTACCAGGGAAATTCATATAAATTCCATTTATAGAATTAAAAATACTCCAGACCCAGCCCCTATAATTGCTTTTCATTTTAATTTTTAAAAATGTATTTACTTATTGATGGAAAATATTCGCAAAAGGAACAGAATGCAGAAGGGCAGAGAAATGAAACGGAGCCCTCTCCCATGCCCCAGCCACCCAGGCTCCTCCTAGAAGATAAATATTGTTATTAATTTTCCTTTTATTTGTATTTTAAAAGAAATAATTCAACTTCCCTGTAATCTGGGAATCTGGTTTACTATCAGTTTGAGAGAGGAATTAACGCAGAAAATAACAAATAGCATTCTATGAAAATCAACCTGGACTGACTGTCTGCGGACAGGTGTGTCTGACTTAGTCCACAGTTTTCCTGTGAATTGAGGAAATTCCTGTGCTCCTGGAAACCCACATGGCAGGAATTTCCCCTTGGCTTTGAGCTCTAGGAGAGTTGCCTCCCAGATGAGACCATCTAGGAAGGCTGAGAGGTTCTCTCATCTCCAGTTCCCTGCAGCCAAGTACAAGAATCTCCGAAAGCCAGAGGAAAAATCAATACTCAGGCCTCACCCTACTAACCGGACTTCTTAGGATAACTAAGGATTTTTTAAAAAGTTTTTCCAGTTCATTGATTTGAGGAGGTTAATGGCCCTTTCTACAAAAGTAATTTCCTTGTCTGTGGTATCATCAGAAGAAAAAAATCTTGTATTTTTCAGGTGTGCTTAGGTGTGTCAGGCACAGCTCTGTGAGGGACACGTGGCTGCATGTGTGCGCACAGACACACAGATCTGGGCGTGTGTGTGTATCCACACCGATGTCTATGGCAGTGTGAATACCTCCACCTATACCTGCATCTGTGCAAAATCTCGAGTCTCATAACTCCTGTGGTAGAAGTTTTCTCTATTTAACAGGAAAAGAATCTAGGCTCAGAATGAGATGGGATTTCTCAGAAAGGCCACAGCTGGAGCAGGGCTGTGTCGGACTGCAAAGCCACCTTCTTTTTACCATGTGATGCACCTGCCTACATAGTGGGTCCCGTTAAACATATAATTAGCACTGACCAAGAAGGCCGAGCTTCTGTGACGTTTAGTGTTATAACTAATGTGCATTTCTGCTTCAGGAATTTGATGAAGCCAGCGCACAGACCGTGCAGCGGTTACTCTGGGAGGTGGAGGAAATGCTGTTTGAAGGGAAAGTGAACCCTCAGACCCAGAGTCTGCTGGCCGAATGCAGGGAGTGGACAAGAAGATCCCTCCATTTGAGGTGGGGTCTGGTTGGTGGAAGTTCTCTGGGGCGGGTTTTCGAAGCGCCTACCCCTGAGCTGCCTTGAAACAAGCAGTACATTTGGACTGAACGCACCTGCCCAGCCAGAGTATGGACGCAGAGCGCAGTCCTTCACTGAGAGGTCACTTCCCTTGTTATGGTGTCTGAGGAAATACTGAGACATTCCAATACTCATGCACCTTTTAATTTGCGAGAAGCAAATTCAGCGCGTCCTGAGAAGGGCATCGCACATGTAATGATTGCAGGAACGGTGGAGGCCACCTCTTACCTTCAGATTCACTATGTGTGAGCAGCACGTGCCTGTCTTCATCCCAGACCACAGCGAGGGCGGGCAGTGATTATCGCTGGACAGCTGGTCAGATGCGTCTTCCCATCTCACCCCATTATGTAGGGAGGATCACATATTATTTATTTTTATCAAAGATGGAGAATATGGATTGGGAATGAAGGCAAGCTTTTCTTTCAGTCACTCAGCCAACTTCCTGGGGGACAGTTTATCAAAGTTACCTGAGTCCCTCTAGATTCTGTCTGGGGAGGATGAGTTAGAACATTCATGTAAATGTGGCTGGATTTTCTGCTTGCATCGACTAGGTAACTTTTACAGAAATCTTGACCAACTAGGGCTTTTTTTCTTTTTTATCCTTAATAAGCCACCTTCCGTAAAGCGTACGATGTGCCCACTAGATACCAATTGTGGACACTCACTTTCCTGGGTATGGTCACTCACCGAAAACTCAGGGGCTCACACTCATTCCTGTCACTGCCATCTTACATCACTGATAGAAATGGAGGGAAGGTGGAAAAGGAGAGACTGCAGGTGCATCAGCCCAGTGTGCGTATTTATGTATTTTTATTGTTGTGTTTGTGTTGAGCTGTGTACTAATGTGTATGGAGAGCTTCTGTGTGTCCGGTGTGGCCTTAGACACCTGAGTCTGTCAGACATGATCAGCCCTGCAAGGTAACCATTGTCTCCTGTTTTGCAAAGGAAGGACAGAAAATCAAATCAGCCTGAGAACCTTGCCTGAGACTGAGTCAGTGGAAGAACAGTCTGGCCTAAACTCTCAAAGCCACACTCTTCTGTGATGCGTGATGCTTCCCACGCACCCAAACACACCTTATCATATCATACACACGCCTGCAAAATCATTGTCTCCTACTTTTAAAATCCCAAAACGTTTTCCCTTCGTCTGATCCAAAATGTGAGTCGCTTCTCTTTTACCTTGCAGAGTATTAGGAAGACAACTGATCCTGCCCACTGATGAGGGCGTCCAGCATTTCCAGGGCAGCGCTCCCGGCTCCGCGGTCCACAGACCCCCACTCAGTGCCTGCAGACACAGCAGCAACATCAGAGAGTATGTTCCGATAAGCTACTCTCGAAAAGTATTGTTAGCTGTATCTTAGTTACACTTTTACATGTTTATTTCATCCACAAGGTTTGGTACCACCCGGTTTGGAAGGGCAGGTACAGAGAACAGTTTTTATAAGATGGTTTTGGTTCTGAATTGACAGCAGGTGTATGTGTGTGTGTAGACACATAGATATGTAAAATATATCTGGAGTGCACATGCACACATGTGGTTGTCACCTTCCACGTGTGTCCAAAGGCGCTGTGACAGGCGGACTGGACACAGCCTGGAAGCCGCCCCGCTGTGATGGGTTGTAAGCTGCAGGCAGTGGCAGCAGGAGGTAGGAAGCTCTGTCCTGCCATCTGCTCACTAGCAGATTTTGATGACTCTCTTTGTCCATTCACACATAGTTGGTGTGCTGTGACACAATGTGATCCCTTCACGGCAGCCAAAGAGGGTATGAACTTACAGAATACTTTCGGCTTTTAGAAGCTCTTAATATTTTTAGTGATTTCTGTATTCAAGTGTTTTTAAGGATTTGAGTTTTTTTCCAATGTAATAATCAATAGTTTTGGGGGGATTCTGTACTTTACAGATAATTTAAAGCTTCGCCGTAATCATTTAAGCATTGCACTCTTGGTATTGTATCAACTCCATGGAGAACCTGTTTTCCTCCCATAGGTTGTGCATCTCTGGCTCTCAGTTAGTCCCAGCGGCGCCCTCAGCCTCTGCCCTGCCGGGCCCTCATGGTACAGGGATTGCTGACCTAGCAGTGCATTCATCGCTGGAAGAAGAGGTCTACCTTGTGGATGGAAAGATCGAAGAGTATTTTGCTTTTGACAGAAAAGAGAGGTAAATAGGGTCTTACTCGACATTGACCTCCTAAAATAAGATGCATTTATTTGACATTTATTGTTATTGTAGGCTCGTTTAGTGTTTTATTTTTTTCTCACCCAAAAGATTTCTGTTCTTTGGAGAGTAATGACTCCCTAGAGCTTTGATTCCTAGCAGGAAGTACACGTGTGGGAACGGTGAAGCGCGTGTTCAGCATGCTTGTGCAAGCAGACAAGGCTCCCCGCAGCCCTGGTCCCGGGGGCTCCAGCTTCCCTATCACTGGCTGCCCGAAACGGCCCAAGCAGCGTTCCCGCCTCTGCACTAAATGTGTATTTTGTTCCTAACCAAAAACTACAAATATTACCTGGTAAAAATTTGCCTCATGATTGAAAATTGAAACATGATAAGTCACACTGATAAAACGAGTCTTAACAACCGTAAAAAGACTGAAATCAAGCATCTTTTTTGACCTCTGTGGTATGAAGCTGAAAGTCAATAACAGGAAGAAAACCGGAAAAGTCACAAATAAATATATGTAAACTAAACAACCAGTGAGGAGGGCAAAGAAGAAATCAAAAGGGAAATCGGAAAACACATTGACTATTAAAATGGAAACATGGCCCCAGCAATCCCATTACTGGGTATATATCCAAAGGATTACAAATCGTTCTTCTATAAGGACACGTGTACACGAATGTTCATTGCAGCACTGTTTACAATAGCAAAGACCTGGAACCAACCCAAATGCCCATCGACGATAGACTGGATAGGGAAAATGTGGCACACATACATCATGGAATATTATGCAGCCATCAGAAACGATGAGTTTGTGTCCTTTGTAGGGACATGGATGAACCTGGAAACCATCATTCTCAGCAAACTGACAGAAGAGCAGAAGATCAAACACCGCATGTTCTCACTCATAGGCGGGTGTTGAACAATGAGAACACATGGACACAGGGAGGGGAGCACTACACACTGGGGTCAGTTGGGGGGAAATAGGGGAGGGAGGGTGGGGGGTGGGGAGCTGGGGAGAGATAGCAAGGGGAGAGATGCCAGATGTAGGTGATGGGGAGGAAGGCAGCAAATCACACTGCCATGTGTGTTCCTATGCAACAATTTTGCATGTTCTTCACATGTACCCCAAAACCTAAAATGCAATAAAATAAATAAATGGGAAAAAAAAATAAAATAAAATAAAATTAAAAAAAAAAATGGAAACATGGCATATTACAACCAAACTTATGGGATGCAATAGAAGCAGCTCTAGGAGGGAAGCTGATGGCAGTAAATGCCTACATTCAGAAAAGAGAGAGCTCAAACCGACAACCTAACTTTACACCTGAAGGAATGAGAAAAAGAGCAAACCAAGCCCAAACTTAGTAGAAGGAAGGAGATGACAAAGATCTGAGCCGAAATAAATGAAAAGAGACTAGAAAAAAAGAAAGATCAGTGAAACCAAGCGTCAGTGTTTGGTTTGGCTTCGTTTTCCCGCCCAGTTTTATTCATGTGTAATTGACGAGAATTACATATGCTACAAAAGAATGATGCTGTTTAACCAAGAATATGCGTATTAATACATGTATAAATGTACATACGTGGATGTGTGTAGATAGAATTAGTTTAACTCTGAGCATAGATATTTTAGTAATTGGAGTGGGTCTTTATCCTTAGTGATGACAACGGTCTTGAACAAAAACCAGCTCAGCTCGGTAGGAAATGGCGCAAACTCGGACTTCCTCCTGTTTCGCCTCGTGACTGCGTCAAAGATGCCGTGACAGCAGAAGTGTTTGATCACGTCTGGACAAATGTGGTAGAACTTGCGCAAGAGCTGATTAGAAAACACTGGGAAACTACACTCACAGGTACTTATGTGCAGAATTTGGCTTAATAAAAAGAGAAACAAAATCCCTGCCCCTCAGCCCTGCGCCCCTGCTCCTCAGCGTGGCCATACCTAGAACATGGTCAGTGAGAAGACAAGTGGGTGTTCTGACTTTACTCACGAGTGATCTTCAGTCCCTTCAAAAAGGACGCTATTGTTTTTTGCATTATAAAAAATAATGCAGTGCTGGCTGGGCGTGGTGGCTCACGCCTGTAATCTCAGCACTTTGGGAGACGGAGGCAGGTAGATCACCTGAGATCAGGAGTTCGAGACCAGCCTGGCCAACATGGTGAAACTCTGTCTCTACTAAAAATACAAAAACTAGCCAGGTGTGGTGGTGCATGCCTGTAATCCCGGCTACTTGGGAGGCTGAGGCAGGAGAATTGCTTGAACCCGGGAGGCAGAAGTTGCAGTGAGCCAAGATGGTGCCGTTGCACTCCAGCCTGGGCAACAAGAGCAAAACTCCATCTCAAAAACAAACAAACAAACAAACAAAAAAAACAGAATGTAGGCAGGCATGGTGACTCACACCTATAATTACAAAACTTTGGGAGACCAAGACGGGAGAATTGCTTGAAGCCAGAGGTTCAAGGCCAGCTTGGGCAACATAGCAACACCCCATCTCTTCAGAAAATACAAATGAAGAGTTAGCCAGGTGTGGTGTCACATGCCTGCAGGCCTAGCTACTCAGGAGGCTGAGATGGGAGGACCCCTTGAGCTCAGGAATTCGATGTTAAAAGTCAGCTCTGATCATGCCACTGCACCCCATCCTGGGCAACAAAGTGAAACCATTTTCCCCCACAAAATAACAATGTGTATGATTGCAGTCTGGAAAACACAAGGAAATACACAAGAACAAGGCTGGAAGTCACTTTTTTTGTTACAGTAAAAAAAAAAAAATTAATCGTTAATAATGAGATATTTGTATTTAATTATTCATGACATCGTCTGTCATGTAACAAATGTAAATATAGCTAATTGAATAATCCCTTAGTTGTCTTGTTTCAACATATAAAATGTCCTCTAAACTTAACATTGAACAGAAACAAATCATAAAAATGTCGGTAATGGACGCTAATGACTAGTTTTATTCATCAGTTTGTACAATAAGGCCATAATCCTGTTAACCTAAATCCTGTTCTTTTTCTGGCATTTATGGGACTGGTTGGGCTTTATCACGTGCTGAGACTCTTAGTGCCCACTGTATAATCTGTTTCTCCACGTCCCACTGTGACTGCAGTCACAGCAGTGGGTTGCTTCATGGGGGTCTCTGCCCTCCATAGCAATGAGCGTAGTGGGCATAGCATGGACTTGTGGTAGCTCAAGAACAAATATTCTCAATTAAGAGTGAATTCTCAGCATTTGTGTTAGATGATCTGATGTCTCTGGGAATATTGATTCTTCTGTTGACACAGCAGGGGAAAAGCAGAGAGAAAAACTGAAAGTCATTGGAAACAGATTTCCACATGCCCTCGCTCCACGTGCTCGGGCTGATGGAGCCAGTGGCCCCAGGTCTGGAAGCTCTGCGGCTCGCTGTGTCTCCCTGGCTTCTCATCTGAACCCGCGCCAGGTGGGTGTTTTCACACCTTCTCTCTCTCTCTCGCCTTCAGTCTATGTGTCCTTCGCCTCCGTTTGTCAAGAGCGTTGTTCTGTTAAACTGTAGTATTGAGATATTTGGGGCTGCCTTCCACTCCGCCTGCAGCGGGGGCCATACAGGCTTTCCATGGCAACTTAAAAAGAAACCTTCGCAATATCGCAGTGCCCAGAATGCTTGATGCCCTGCCCACGAAGGAGGAGGATGTCCTCAGGTTCCTGGCAGTAAGAGCCCACGCAGGCGGCACTGCCCTTGGCTTCCTGAGAAGTACATCCACAAAAGGAATAGCGATGGCATCTCCGTCATCAATCTGAAAGGACCTGAGAGAAGCTGCTGGTGGCAGCTCGTGCCATTCTTGTTGTTGAAAGCCCTGCTGATGTCCCTGTCATGTGCTCCAGGAATACTGGCCAGCGGGCTGTGCTGAGGTTCACTGCCGCCACCAGAGCCAGTCCCACTGCTGCCTGCTTCACTCCTGGAAGCTTCGCTCGCCAGATCCAGGCAGCCTTTCAGGAGCCATGTCTGCTGGTGTTACTGATCCCAGAACAACCGCCAGCCTGTCACAGAGGCGTCCTCAGCTAGCCCACCTCCCATTGCTCTGTGGAGCACAGATTCTCCTCGCTGCTGTGTGGAAGCTGCCATGCCCTACAACACGGGAGCTCACTCAGTGGGCCTGAAGGGTGGCTGCTGGTTCAGGAGGTTCTGAGCATGTGTGGCACCGTTCCCCAGGAACACCCACGGGAGGTCATGCCTGACCTCTGCTTCTGCAGAGACCCTGAAGAGATTGAGAGGGAAGAGCAGCCTGCTGCTGATGAAGCTGGCTGTGCTGGGGTTTCAGGGGTATGGACTGCCCCAGTGCCTGCTGAGTAGTGCCGCCCAGACAGACGCCAGACCCAGCTCCTGTGTGCACTAACCCTCAGCCTGGGGGTGCAGACCCAGCCCCTGTGCACACTACAGCTCAGCCTGGGGGTGCAGGCCCAGCCCCTGCATGCACACTACTGCTCAGCCTGGGGGTGCAGGCCCAGCCCCTGTGCACACTACAGCTCAGCCTGGGGGTGCAGACCCAGCCCTGCACACTACAGCTCAGCCTGGGGGTGCAGACCCAGCCCGTGCACACCACAGCTCAGCCTGGGGGTGCAGACCCAGCCCTTATGCACACAACTGCTCAGCCTGAAGCTGTAGACGGCCCTGGAGGTGCAGGGGCCCGCCGTGCTGGTTCAGCAAGTCTCTGCTGCAGACTGGAGCGCCCAGCCTGCCAGGGGGCCTGTTCTGCACCTCCCAATGCTCAGGCCGGTGAATGAGGAGGATCAACTCTCAAGCTGTTCTTCCACAGGCCACCAGCAAGACGGAAATAGGGTGATGGAAAATAAACCTCAGTTTCTATTTAAAACAATGGTATTAGGGTCTGTTTGCAATGTGATTATGTCATGAAGTTACACAGAATGACCATGTGGCACTGCTCTGAGATGTGAATCTGGTTTCTACCTTTTGGGAGATAAAAAAATGCTTTCCCCCTGACATTTCCAGCCAGTTTGAAAATGATAAATGTTCTCCCTTCTTTCTATCAAAGTGATAGAAGACTCAATGAGTATACAGCCAGTTCTCGACTTACGACCACGATTGGGACCGCGGACCGGTCGTAACACGATTTGGTCGTAAGTTGAGTAGGCTATATGTACAGTTGAAATGGTGCACGCAGAGATGGTAGTGCTGCCGGAAGCTGGTCCACACTGTCGTCCACCCAGCTGGGCAACGTTTGCGCTGCCAGACGCGGAGCAGTCGTGGCTAGCGATTGTGGTCGTAAAGTCGAATGGTCGTAAGTTGCATAGGTCGTAAGTCCATCAATACCTGTACATTGGGCTTACTCAGCATTTGTCGTCTGCACTTGAGGCGCTTTGAGGAGATACACAGGTGAATCAAGCAGTCCTGAACTAGTGACCCAAAAGCTCTGACCCAGGGGCAGGTGTAAGACATTCTGTGAGGGTCGTGCAGAAGAAAAGAGCCTTGGAGAAGAATCAGAGAGCGATTTGTTCTGATTGGAGGAGGGGGATTGGTCTTTTACTTTGGAGGTGAAATTTGAGCAGAAACATGAAGACATGAGCAAGGCTCTTGTGGGAAGGAGCTCTGGGTGGCCCATTTCAGCCAAACAAAGGCGTGGATGAAGGAAAGACGGGGCGTTTTTGGGGACTGTGATTGGACTGAACTTAGGGGATAAGAAACTGGGAAGAGCAGCATAGTGGCAAGAACGGGGGATGAGGAATCGCGAGGCCTGTGAGGCGTATTTTTCTGGATATGTTGAACTTTTCTGAACTTTGGTGTCCTTAGCTTATAATGAGGATGATACTATCTTGTCCAAGGAATTGTGTGAGGATAAAATCATAGAAATACCGGAGAGCTCCCACCACAGGGACCGGCACATATTAAGCACTTAATAAATTTTTCTTGAATTGCATTTATATTGAAAGATCTGGTAGTGGGTGAGGCTGGAAAGGACGCGCTTGTTCACGGGAGGCCAAGGAACCTGTTTCCACCACCCATCCTGTGTCAGGGAGCAGAGAAAAGGGATAAACACACACAGATGCACACACACCCCACACACATGCCACACACACACACCCCACACACATTCCACACACACACACCCCACACCGTGCACACACATACCACACACACCACTCACACATGCCACATGCACCCCTCCACACACACCCCACACACCATACACACACCCCACACAAACACACCACACATCATACACCACACACACATGCACACACATCCCCCCCACACCCCACACAAACACACCACACACCATACACATACAACATACATTATACACCACACACACACCACACCTCATACAAACACATACCACATGCACACACACCACATACACCACACACACCATGCACACATACACTGCACACGCACACACCACATACCACACACCAACACACATACACATACCAGACACACACCATATACACACCACATGCACACACAACCCACAACACACCAACATAGGAGCTTTGGGGTTCAGAGGAAAAGTATACTTTTCAGAGTAGGGTAAAATAGGAACCAAGCCTTAAATGATGTAGGTGTGATTTGTTAGGGTGAGAAAGGAAGGGAGACTCCTCAAAGCCAAGGCTGAGCTGCACACCTGGCAGGAGCATCCCAACCAAAGATCGTGTGAGACTGAAAGGGCAGAGGCGGGACCGCATCTGTGCCTCGGGGCAGTGGGGAAAGCAGAGCGCCTCAGGCTTCTTTCACGCTTAGGGGAGGCGCTTGGCAAGAGGTCTCTGCCTTTTCTGCTCTAAAGAACCTTTTGGAATCGCTACCTGCTTATTGTATTTTTTGATCGCTTTAAACTGCTCTGACAATTTCAATACAACATTCTCTACTTTAAAAAAACAGGCAGTATGAATATCACAAAAAAAGAACAGCTGATGATAATATAGAAAAGAACCTTTAAATATCAGGCAAAATAGATAGACCTGAAAAATATGGAAATTCTAGAAGCTGGGGACTTTTAAAAATAGCTGCTTTGGTTTCATAAGTCCTTTGTTTGGATAGATGTTAAAAAATAAATGGAAAGCAAAGTGAACAGAGTAAAAATAGAGCCTGCTATGAAATACTCAAGGTGTTCTAGGGGTAATTACAGAAGCTCTTAAGTTACTCCTCTACATGTGATTCTGGTTGCCACGTCTGTTCACGAATCCGAACAGAATTCCAGTCCCAGAAATCCTGTTCTCCCGAATCTAAATATTACTATTATTTTTAAAGTTTTGAATTTTCCTTTAAGCTCCTGGCTCCACGTGCAGAACGTGCAGGTTTGTCACATAGGTATACAAGTGCCATGGTGGTTTGCTGCACCCATCAGCCCGTTATCTAGGTAAATACTATTTTAAATCCTTGTTGGTCATACTGCGGGACTGAAGAGGGAGTTAAGAATCCCTTAGCCATTAGCTCACGCTTTTACAAATGTCATCTGATTCCGTTCTCACAAGAGCTCTGTGAAGCTGGTATGACTTTTCCCAGTGTAAAGCGGAGAATGTTAAAGTTCCAAGAACAAAGTAAGCGTTCTAGAATTACTGACCAGGAAGCAGTTAGAACGGGATTCAGACGGAAGCCTCTCCAGAGCTCATGCTTGGGCCCCAGGCATCTCACTGCTTCTGGGAAGAGAGCCCCGGCAGGTGTGGAGGGGAGGCCAGGAGGGGCCTCCAGGCCTCTGCCTCCCTCACCCTGGAGTTACCAGGGGCTGATACACATCAGAGCTCCCTTGCCCTTCAACTTCCAGCAGAGACTGCAGCCCGGCCCTGCTTCCCTGCAGGGTCCCTGCCAGGTCACCCTGGGCCGGTGGCGCTCCTCCCCGTGCAGCTGCCCTCTTGGTACAGGAGCCCCTTCCTCACTTCCCGCCACTTCAGGCCAGGTGTGCTGAATGTCCCCATGGTTAGGAGCCTTGGGGAATTAACCAATTCATTGTTCACGTCTCAGCCCCCGTCTGTATAAAACACGCCCCTGTATTAGCTTTCCCTGCAGTCAGCCAGTTTCCTGCCGATTTCTGCCAAGCATCGGTCTGGAACGGCACTGGGCGGTTGTAATGTTTTTTTCTTTTTTTTACTGTTCTCAGGTTCATCGCTTCTCCAACAATTGTTATAGTGACATGAATGGTGTCATGAGAATTGAAGCAAAACCACTTCAGCACAGACCTGCCTGTTTTCCCGACAGAACGCAGTACGTATCACTGTGGGTGTCAGTCGTCGTTACCCAGCCTCTGACTTGTGCGGGACACACTGCCGCGCTGAGCACCGCGGGGGACGTGAGCTCACCAAGGTCCCAGTTCATCCCATGCCTCAGATGTGCCCGAGCACGTCCCGGGGGAGTGTGGAAGAGCAGAAATAGGTCCTTCCAGTACCAGCCAAAAACAGCGACGATCGCGCATTTGGTTGGGAGGGTCGGAAAAAGGAGAACAGTCATGAAGCCTTAATCTTGTGGGTTTGACGGTTTGGATTATTCACAATGAAAACCTCAGGTCTCTTCCTGTGAATGTTTCTTCATGAAACAGGAAATGGTGGGTCTTTCTGTTCATTCAACCAGTTCTTAAGAGTGTTCTAGGTGTCAGGCCCTGTTCTGGACGCTGCTCACCCCAGCGCAGACGGGTGTGTTCCCTGTTCTCACAACACCTGCGTCTGAGGAGCTCACAGGACTTCCTTCCCCAGGAATGAACAGGCGGACAGAGCGTCAGGTGGAGGGGCCGGTGCGCTCTCCTCCCCACGGCACAGACTGGGACGGGCCTCAGACACTCACCGATTACTGACTTCTGCAAAGAAAACACCAGTGCCATGGAGACTGCCTTCCCTTGTTCCAGATTCACAGAGACTGAAAACCCCCAATGTCTATAGTGACGAAGTTCTTCGGGGAACAAAACTGTAAGTCTTGTTTCTCTCATGCTCACCTGAAGGTCACACAGGGCCTAGGTGCTTGTCAGTTAGGGTCTGTGGCTCATCCCGGACAAGGCATCCTCTATCCAGTGATAGGCAGACACTTTTCTAATGCGCTCATGGAGTATTGAACGTTCAGCGTGCTCCCGGGGTCCACTTCGCTGTAGACTAGGACATAAGGTCAGGCTATCTCTGTGACACGGGCAGAATGAGCCTCTGATGGTGGGGTGACCTTGGGTGGATTTCAGTGGCCTCCTCTGTAAAACAAATCATTAGTTAATGCCTTTAAATTACATAATGAATACTTTTTAAGGGGAGGTGTAAAAATATTGTATGTAAAATACTATAAAAATGAAAGGAATATGTCTGCATCGGATTCTCTTTAAGGACGCACTTCTCCCTACGTAGGAGTTTCAGCAGAGCTTTGGATCTCAGGGACTCCCATCCCACCGTGGCGTCATTAGAAAGGTACTTGTCTCTCGCCCTCCTGCTACCTTACCCATATCGGCCAATACTTGTGTTGATATAACAGCCAGTGTTTACCGATGCCTTTCTTTGTTACCAGCACCAGGTAAAGGAATTACATTTGTGGTCCTACGTGTTCCCCACCGCAAACCTTTATGTGATTGGGACTCCTGCTATCCCAAGTCTGAGATGAGGAAACGGGCGAAGCCTGCCAGAGATCCTCCCCCAGGGAGAGGCCGAGCTGGGCACACCCACACCCACAAGTGCCCTCAGGCTTCGGAGACCACCCACTGGACCCCCGGCCTGCAAGGGAGGAGTTATTAGGAGCCGAGCTCAGGAGCGGGCGGCCGCCAGCGCTTACCTGGCAGCTGGACTCTCTCCAGACGCGGTCATCATAAACCCCCTTTCAGCTTTTTAATAGGTGCCTGTTCTTTCACAGTTTGGGGCTGATGTTTCCAGCTGTGTCAGGTCTGCTGTGCTGATTCTGTCGGGGTCCCTTTGCCTCCGGCCTGGCTTCCCCAGTGCCAGGCAGCAGCACACAGCAGGCTCTCTCCTCCTGCCCCAGCCTTCCTGGGCCCCGCTGTCACACTTCATCAAATGGAAACCCATCTCTGCCTCCTACTGAGATACATTCAGATGCGTCCGATTGTACAAATCCCTCCGTGTTCTGACGCCTCTCTCCCTGTAGGCTGGTGATGTTTCAGCTTTCCTTTTATGATTGCCACCCTGAGGAGCCCTTTTAAACCGTTCTCCCCAGCTGCTCTCCCACGCCTGAACGGTAGTCCCACAGACGGGCTGTCTGTGCGTAGCTGTGCTCTACACGTAAGGGGGAAGCTGCGGTTTCACAAGGACAGCGCCCGTCCCGTTTGATCACGCTGCCTCACCTGCGTCCCCCGGCTTCTCACCTGCCTGGATTCTGGCCTGCCTCATGTTCCCTCTGACCCCCCCTCACCACACCAGCTCTGCGTCTTCTCACCCCCATCCGCTGTCCTTCACTTTTAACAAGATAACATTTCCGCTAATTATCACAGTGCTATTAGTTTCCTGGGGAGCATCAGGATAATACCACAAATAGCAGACATTGACGACCTCCTGTGTGCTCCAGAAACAGAAATCATAGCTCTTGACAGACGTCCTATCACTTGCCAGTTACCCATTTCCCTGTGTGCTCAGTGACATGATGCTGTGTTGCAGGTTGACTGGCGTAGACCACATGGCTTCCCTGCTGGTTCAGACCTCACGGAGCAGGTTCCCGCCGATAGGCACAGAGACCAGGGAGCAGAACACAGCAGTTCCTGGATCCCACCTTGCTTCTGTAAGACAGAATTCATTCTGTTTAAGTGGACCGTTTAGGCAGTATATTGGAAAACAAACAAAACAACCTTGGCACTTCCAAGTGAAATTAGTAACGTAAGATCTGAGCAGCTGTATTCAAACACCTTCGTAATCTGTTTCCAGAAAGTAAATGGCTTGTGAGAATTTACAGGGAGTGACAGGTTAATTTGCCATTTTGTGAAATGAAAGCATGTCTTGAGCTAAATCAGAAAGTCCAGGTGTCACGGAAATATCTGATAAGATGGTGTAGCGGAGAAGAGAGCAGGAGATTTGGTCAGGAGACAGGAGGGCCACGCGATCCTGCCACGGAAACTCTTCTGTGATTTGGTACAAGTCACTTTAATCTACCTAAGGCTTAGTGTTCTCCTCTATAAAAGGGGATTAACAATGGTTAACCCCAAAGAATTGTTAGGAGGATGAAATGAACTCATCGGTGTTAAATAATTCCTGATGTGAAATCGTGAGCTCAGGAAATTCTGACCCTGGTCGTTTTTATCAGGTCTCATTTTTACAGCCAACCTTTGCCACGTCTGTTGCCGTGGAGGGCGATACCTCTGTGCTCAGACTCCGCTCAGCCACGCGGTCACACAAGGTCTGGGGAGCATGCTGCTGCCCGTGCCACAGCCAGCTGCCCCCAGGTTTGTAGCCACCCCCCACTCACTCTCACACAAGTAACCCGTCTCTATTCATTTTATACAACATAGAAGGACCCCTGTTGTAGGAACATAAAGACATAGAGAGAGGAAAAACCCTGCCCCAGGCAAGGTTTTCTCTTGTATTTCCTGTGCCACCTTGAGCACAGCCCTAGCACCCACTCCCAGAAGGCCAGAGTTGCAACGTCTTAGCGTTTAACCTTCGAATAACTTCATTTTAAACAAGGCGAACATCACCTTAAAAAGCCTGATACTTCACAAATGCAGAATCATATTTCTATTATGGTTTAATGTTAAGAGATGAATGTGGTCCAGGTTTTTTATCTCTCTTTCCCTGTGGTGACACTATCATTTTATCAGGTTGAATACTGCAGTTACATAATCAAAATATATCTCATCAGGTATTTATCCTTAGGAGAGCTGATCCTTCGTGATGTCTAACTAAAAGTTTCCAAATAAATGAGTGAATGATTGAGCATGTAGAGATTTTCTTTTGTGTTTTTAAGGGTTGCATTTATTTTAAAAGAGAACATATTATCCTTCATTTAGTACAGAGGGAAGCAAAACTGTGTGCGGAGTGCCATGCCTGATGGTTTAGAACGGTCACCTCTTCCAGAAAGAACGGCCACCGTGGAACAGCTGTCAAGGCCCAGCACAACCCATGCGTTCCGGGTGGGTGCTCTGTTTGCTGTCACTTTAATTTTGAAAAACATTTGAAAACAATGAAACTTGCCCCTGATGTTATTTTTCCTCCAACAGTTGGATGCGCCTGGAAAAAGTTCATTGACCCAAATGGAATTTGCTGCCCACACATGGACGGGTCAAAGTATTTTAACAGGTCAGCTTTTCTCCATATATAAATAAAGTGATGTAACAGGTGAGATTTCAAGTTTCAGAAAGTGAGGTGGAAGATTGTCTACCTCGATAAGCCTGTTTTTCTCATGGAGGAGGGAACAGCAAGTGTTTCTGGCCGACGGCCTGACCTCAGAAACTCCAGTCGCAGAGCACGCCTGCACAGACACACCCTTGCTTACCTGCCCTTGGGTCAGCAAGGGGGAAATGCCCACATGCTCTCAATGAACTGGGGCCTCACTCTTAAAAAAGTGCGGTCCCAGGAGCAGTCAGTACCTCTGTTTGCTGTAGAGTTTTCATGCCCCGTTTCTAAATGAAACTCTCATCTCAGATTCTCTTTGAAAATCGAATGATAAAAATGCTTAAGAAAGTTAACAGAAATTTGCTAATTAGTTTATAACATAGGGCTGTACAGGTAAACACATCTCAGCCTAGGATGTTGTGTGCAGGATAAAGCTCTAGTGTGAACGCCGGCCAGTGGCGATTCCACTTCCAGTCACCAACACTTTTTTCAGGGCGGCAGCGGGGCCTCATCAGGAGGTGTGCTGCTCGGCAGGCTGATGTGGGATTTCCACCCTCGCTCCGCCACCGGCTGTGCAGCCCTAGGAATGTCCCAATCTCTCTGGGCCTCAGCTTCCTCTTTTATAACAAGCTGGGTAGATAAAATAACGACTGGAAATCTGTGAAAAGGACCTAGCTAGATGCCAGGCGTATATTGCTCGAAGATTATGACTTGTGATCGTTGCTATTATAGATAATCTGAAATGTCAGGGATAATTCATTGTTTTACAGGGAATCTTAAACGTATTGTAATTGTAAAAGTGAACCGTGTAGAAGGTAGGCGTTGTGTCGTGCAGATCCGTCACTGTTCACAGCAGCGTCTCCTTAGCCCTGTGGTATGGTGACATCAGGGATTCTTCAGCTCCCTTAGATTTTGCTCTGTGCGGATAGCGCTGGGCTGCTGTGCCTTTCTGTTGCTTTGTTGTTGCTGTGTGTTCTTCAGCAGCATTAGCGGCTGTGCTCATGGCAATGGCTCACTGTCTAAAAGGCAGCCATGCTACATGGTCGGGTGTTGCTTTTTTTTTTTGAGTTGGACTGTCACTGCAATGCCCAGGCTGGAGGGCAGTGGTGCGATCTCGGCCCACTGCAACCTCTGCTTCCTGGGTTCAAGCGATTCTCCTGCCTCAGCCTCCTGAGTAGCTGGGATTACAGGTGCCTACCACCACACCTGGCTAATTTTTGCATTTTTAGTAGAGATGGGGTTTCACCATATTGGCCAGGCTGGTCTCAAACTCCTGACCTCAGGTAATCCACCCACCTCGGCCTCCCAAAGTGCTGGGATTACAGGCATGAGCCACCATGCCCAGCCCAGGTGTTGCTTTTAACACAATTGTAAATGCTTGGGGGAAAGTAGGTGCCTAAGTTAGGTGATTAATCATCGATGGTGTATCAGGTGCTCACTCAGCGCCAAGGTCTGTGCTGAAGGCTGGGATTCAAACACCAGGGGTGTTTCTGTCTGTGCCTCCAGGAACATTGAGCCTGGCAGGGAAGCTGGAAAAGCCTGTGAGAGGGCGGGCAGGACCGCCTGGCTCCCCTGTCCGGGGCTGGGGGGCTTCCTGCAGGAGATGGCCATCACGAGGGATGGGAGAGAAGGGGGTGAGGGCTGACAGACGTGTCTGCGGATGGCCGGAGGCGGGCGGTGCTGAGAGGGAATGGGGCCTTCTGACACGTTCGCTTTGGGGATGCTGACTGCAGCATGCCAAGTGGAGGGATCCAGTAGGTAGTTCAGGCACACATAAGTGGAGATTTGGACAGGGAATTGGGTTCTGAACTTGTTTAAAATCTGCACTGTTAATCATTCACCAAATGCCAGGTCAGTGTATTCTCTTATCAGTAACTTTTTTTTTTTTTTTGCTTTAAAATAAGCTATTTATTTTTTCTACAATTATAAAAGTAATACATTATCAAAATAGACAGCTTGCAAAACACAAAAATCCACCAAGGAAAATACAACCAAGGCCCCCTAATCTCACCACCTAGAGAGAACGTGGCTCAAAGGCAGGAGCTCTGATGAAGGTGCGCCGTGGCAGGTGCCCAATGCAGATGTCACAGGCTCGAAGTGAGGCTGCAGATCACCCACACACACAGATCAGGAGGCCTACGTCTTGCCCTTCAAAAACGAAAAGCTGCTTCTCTCCTCCGAGCACTCTGTCAAGGTCAGCCCACCATGCCGCTCACGCAGGGAGCCACCTCTGGCCACCAGCTTAGGCAGCTCACCACGATCTACTAAGACATTCAGGAATGAATTAAAAACCAGAGTGGATTCATGGTGACCCCTTCGGAATGTCACTCACTGCTTTCTGGAAGAAGACAGGTGGGTAGAGCCAGCGTGTGGGGACTGCAGTGACCCCAGGGGGGCCCACAGGAGGGCCATTAACACGTGCAGTCACATATGGCCACTTAACTAGTGCAGGACCCAGGGAATGGTCCACGCCTGTCATCGGCGCGTCGCTGCCTCTTAAATACTGACCCAAGACTAAAGAGCTATTCGAAGGGAGAACGCAGCTGCCCAAACGCACAGCTCCAAGACTTTCTGCATCTGTAATGAGCTCTTTGGTTTGAAATATTTCCCCTCCTTAACCGTTATTTAACGCTGCAAAGCTCAGTGTGAAGGGAGTGTCCAGGCTCTCTCAGGAACACTCTGGTTTCTCCTCCCTTCTACTCTGTGCGCAGGAAAACTCGCCACAGGGAAGTCCCTGGAGCTCCGCCTGGCTCCGCAGGGCCTGTGCAGCTGGGAAGGGAGGGCACAGACGCCCAGGGCTAGAGGTGCCAGCCTGTGCATTCCGCATTCTGGAGAAAGCCATGCCAGGTGGTGGTGAGAGACAGGCCTTGGCACGGAAGTCCGAGCTCTGCTGCTGGCTTCTATGGGGCCAGGCATTCCCTACAGGTCCCAGCTTCCCCAACTGTAAAATGGGAATAACACCTCCCTCACGCGCTCCTGAAGGGATGGAATAAAACACGGAGCATGTAATATGGTGCCTGGTGCGTAACAAGCCTCAACGTGTCCAGGGACCCATCCTGATCACCCATGAGCCTGTTTAAGGTCAGCTCTGTCTCATTTAAAAAACAAAACAAAACTGTGCCTTCAAGATCAGGCTCACGGTGACCCTGATCTGGGCCAACCCCACCTGGAACCAGCCAGGCTTGTGCTGCTGGAGAGGACTGGCCAAGCCAACGCACTCGCCCTCGGAACCAGCGGTGAGCAGCCTGGTGAGCTCTGAGCCCGCAGAGCAGGTGGGGCGCCCCACAGGTTGTGCGCAGAGGCCCCTGGGCCACCAAGGGGCAGAAACCTCAGGGAAAAGGAGGCCCTTTCACCCGCCAAAATGGAAGCTTCCCCGCTGAACACCGCATCTCCTGCCACTGTCTGGCCTTTAATCACAACTTAAACCCTTCACGGAGGGACCTCTGTTCCTTGTTGTTTCCTCTTTGTTCATCCATTGGTTGTCTTCAAAATCAAAGTCCAGAAGCTTCTGCACTAATTTCAAAGTCAGGCTGAACCCTGAGGAATGAACGAAACTGTTTCAATTTTCCTCTAACTAAGTCTTCATATAGCTTACCATAAGCAGGATCCTCATCAGGGCATTTCTGAATCATTCCGATCTGTGATTGTAAGAACCACATCTTTCTGTGGTCCTTCTCAGTGGGACAACTGTGCAGCGGACATTCCCACCCAAAAGCAAAGCCTTCGTAGCACCTGATCTCACACAGGATGCCGGCTCCAGGCAGCCTGCCGCCCTGCCTTCCTTCACCACACCCACACTCGTCCCTCCTCCTCCAATCCCCTCACTCCTCCCTCCTCCTCCTCCAATCCCCTCACTCCTCCCTCCTCCTCCTTCGGTCCCCTCACTCCTCCCTCCTCCTCCTCCAATCCCCTCACTCCTCCCTCCTCCTTCAGTCCCCACACTCCTCCCTCCTCCTCCTTCAGTCCCCACACTCCTCCCTCCTCCTCCTTCAATCCCCACACTCCTCCCTCCTCCTTCAATCCCCACACTCCTCCCTCCTCCTCCTTCAATCCCCACACTCCTGGTCTTCCTTCAATCCCCACACTCCTCCCTCCTCGGTCCCCACACCCCTCCCTCCTCGGTCCCCACACTCCTCCCCCCTCCTCCTTCGGTCCCCACACTCCTGCCTTCCTCCCATCCTTCCTGACACCCTTCCCCAGGTAACCCCGTATCCGCCCTCAGGATGGCATCCAACAGGGCCTGGCTCCCAGATTCAGGCCTGGACACAGGGCTTCAGAGGAGGCGCTCTTGCCAGTAACTCCGCGACGGCTACTATTGATGGTCAGAGGCCTTCTCTGTATCCACAGAAGTGACCGAGGGTCCAGAAGAGGGATGTCCGTCTTTCTGAGGGTTTCTGTTCTTTTTCTCTGGCAAGCAGGCAGGAGGCCTTCTGCTACCTTTGCGTCCAGGTCAAAAAGCACCAGGAACTACTTACCTAATAAACGTTATTTCTTCTGTGATAGAAAAAAATGAAGGAACCAAAGTGGTGTCCCAGAGAGTGGGAAGGGTCTCTTAAAGCAGCTGGTGTTGCCCCTGTCCTTGGGAAGCAGGAGAGCTGCCAGGACGTAGTGCTCCCTCAGCCTCGGGGGCCAGGACCCGCCTCTGTATGGAAGCTTCTAGCAAATCCACCAGCTGGGGAGGACAAGCAGCACTTAGGCTTGGTTCCGCAGGAGCACCCTTCCCTCTTCTCAGGACCCTAAAGGCACTGTTTGCATATGACTATTTCCTAATTTATACAAAAGTGACGTTAGTTTTTTTTTTTTTTAAGTATTTGCATGGAATGTACAAACGAGCTTTCTGAGTGGTTGCATGATCACATTTTCATGAGCATTACCTTGTTTGGTGTTTCCAGGTTCACAGTATGTGCCTAGGTCGTTTCAGAGGACAACTCTGACCTTAAGGAAGAGATTCCAAGTGATATCTTGAAACCGTTTCACCAGAACCGTCGGAGCACCGGTGGCTCCGCACAGCACTCTTCACTTCAAAGATGGAAGAACAAGGGTTATACTTATCTGTGCGTGTGACCGTGTGGGATGTTAGAGGAAGAGAAATGCAAACAAAGAAGTCCCTGGTAAAGAGGGAGAAAGTCAAACTCATCAAGCTGTTTTACTGGAAGCATCTCCAAGGCTCCGTAGGCTTCGCTCAGAAGACCTTTATGTGTTTACCATCCGTCACTTTATCAATGACACACAAACATAAGCAGGGCGTGCATGCACTCACACACTAACTATGTATAAGACTATGGTATCTAGGAATATGCCATTTGCAACTTTGTACCCTGAGGCATTTTCTAGTCTCATTCTATTAGTGATTCCATCAAAAGCCTAGACACGAACAGATGCTACTGTTTGAGACAGTGTGCCGGTCTGGATAAGATGGTCCTCGTCATGCTGACTTGCTCATGCATCTGTAAAAAGTGCTTCAGCCATGAACCTCTTGGAGAAATGTCAGTGGCTAAATCTCCCAGACTAATTTTCTTTTTCTAGTTTTCATCTTCCAATTCAGACAGTTCACGTGAAGCACCCCCCAGGGTTGAATGTAAACGTAATTAAAAGCTCTGGCAGGTGTTTGCAGTTGACGCTCCCCCGTGGGAGGGGAGCCTGGCACCCCCCATGTGCCATCGCGAGCTGGCCTTTGCTCAGTCATCCCCCTCATTGACGCCGTCCCAGAGCCCTCGTCTTTTCACGCTCTGTCCCCCTGCTCCAAGCGTGTGCCTCCATCTAACGAGACTGTAGAAAATGGAGCAGACAGTGGGAAGGGGAATGGGTCGAGGCGAGGCTGCAGGCGTGTCTTTCTCCTGTCCCCTCCCCACTGCATTTCTTGATTGTGATTTAAGTCCTTACACTCATTTTTATATTCTCAGATCTCAAATCAGCTCATTTCTTCTTTTCTCTCAGATAATTGCATTTTATTAGCCTAATTATTAATCCAAACTGTAACTTTATATGTATAACGTTATATATATGAGCATATTTATAAACTGAGAATTATAAACTGTATACACACACACGTATATATATCCTATAAATGCATAATAAATTATTTTCACATTATTTCTGGCTGGAAGGAGAAGGGATCATTGCCTACTTGTAGATGTCTGGAGTTTAAAAGATGTGTTGAGACTAAAATTAATGTTGTCCTTTATCACAGAGTGACAAAACAGAAATGACCCTAGAGCCTTGCCTCTGCTTGTTAATTTCTCCTTGACTGAGACACTGTAGGCAGCAGCAGCAGCGACCACCACGTCCATGCCCTTTAACATGGGCGCAGCGCCATGCAACCAGGGAACGTTGCCAATGCTTAGTTTCCTGTGTCAAACCAACCAAAGCGTTTTGGAGAATTTTCTACATTATTCCTAAACATTAGCAATAGACACTTTTAAGAGCGAATGCCCGTCTTAATTCAGCAGCCCTCACACTTGAAGAATACTTAGGTAGGTGAGTAGTCTGGAGCCCTTGTTCATGGGGCTGCTGGTTAGCTGCTCTCCGGTGCATTATTACTGCTCAAAGCGTGCTGCACACTTGTTCTTTCAGAATTATTCAGGGTGTTTCATGTCAATTTCCAGGAACCATCCAACTCCTTCCCTATTCAGTTCAAACTCCTTTTTGTTTGTTTGTTTGTTTGTTTTTTTATTTAAGTATAGGGTACATGTGCAGGTGTGTCATGGGGGTTTGTCGTACAGATTATTTGATCACACGGATATTAAGCCTGGTACCAATGAGTTATTTTTCCTGATCCCCTCCCTCCTCCCTCCCTCCACCCTCCAAAAGGCCCCAGTGTGTGTCGTTCATCTCTGTGTCCATGTGTTCTCATCCTTTAGCTCCCACTTATAAGCAAGAACATACGGCATTTGCTTTTCTGTTCCTGCATTAGTTTGCTAAGGATAATGACTTCCAGCTCCATCTATGTCTCTACAAAGGACATAATCTCATTATTTTTTACGAGCTCAAAATTCTTAGTAGGAGAAACAGCTGATATTCAACCTAAACTAACATTAAGGTAGGGTATCCAAGACAAAATGTTATTTCATGGTAACTTTACCTTGTTTGACTTCACAGGTTTGCACATAAGATTCAATTATTTATATATGTTGGTAAAAAACAAAATATTTTTAAAAATAGAACCAGTTCCAGTGATCTTGACTCTTCTAAACATTTAAATTGGAAGAAAAAGTACCATTTTAGAGATTACATAGAGACTTGGCCCTGTCATTGATTTTAAAAATGACCTTTCTCATTGCACTGATTTTTAGTGCAATGTTAAAGTTAGTGTTTTAGTTATATATTTAATTAGATATAGAGATTAGTAAATAATTCTTATATCAAGGATGGTGCTTTTTAAGCTAATTAGGTAAAAATTAGGGCAGTGTTTTTTATAATAATCTAATAAATGAGTCTTACTTTAGAATTAATCTATTAAAAATTGAAAAAAATTGAACTACTTCTGAGATTGATTTTTAAATTCAGGTTACTGACTTATATTAATTAAAATGTTTGTTAGTTTATCCAAAACCAAAGGAATGAAGGAATTTTAAAATAATCTAAAAAAAATGTAAAATACCGTAGAAAACTGCTAGATTTTGTGAATTTAATATAGAAGGAAGTATCCATATTGGTCATATTCTGAACTAGAATGGAATTTCTATACCAGTTGAGAAGTAAATTTTTATATTATTCATCATTTGGATATATATATTTTTTATTGTAACTACAGATCATCGTGCAGGATTTTCAATTCCTTTAATTTCTAATAAAATATAAAAGTGTTAAAAGAGTTTTCAAAAATGTGTTACATTTATAAAAGTGTTTCTAGATGCCCAATTTTTGTATAATTTGTGCAAATATCTCTCTAGTCTGCAGTTTCTAATACACCGGTATTTATTATTTCTAACTACATAGCAGACTTCCCTAGTGAATTCAAAGTATATGTCCATATATATTTGTAAAGACTTCACAGAACGTATGCATACCCCACTGTAACGTTTGTTTCAGGAGATTATGCCCCTGTGTGGTGATCGTCGTGGATTTGATTTCATCAGACATTTATTGAGCACTTCCTTGGTGTAAGATTTTTTTCTAAGCATTGTATTGAACAAGGCAGTCTTTGCCCTAAAAGAGCTTAGAGTCTCATGGAGGAGACAGACTATAAACAACTAAATAAAAACATATTACTGGTCCGTTAGCAGTAAGTGCTGTGAAGAAACAAAGCAAGGGAAGGTGACGGAGTGGAACGGGCTGCAAGTTTCCATGGAGCAGTTGGGGACGGCGGTGTTGCAGGGGTGACATTTGAGCAAAGCCCAAAGATGAGAAAAGAACCATGGAACTATCTGGGGAGAAAGAATTGTAGACAGAGCGAAAAACATATGTGCCTAAACCAAGAGCACACCTGGAACACTCGAAGAGCAGCAGAGGGGTCCGTTCATGGGATGGAATTAGCAAGGGAGGGAATGGTGGGAGCCCAGTGAGGCAACAGAAGCTGAGGATTGAGATCCTTTCTGGACTTGGGGAATTCTAAGTAGTCTGAAATAAGCCACTGGAGCAGTTGAGTTTTGGGGATAAAATGACATAATTGACAAGAGATGATCATGTTTCACCCAAATGATAGTGGTAAGGCTGATGAGAATCCCAGGACTTTGGATGTGTTTGAAATTTGAGCCAAAAGATTGGCTGTTGGATGACAGGTGCAGTGTGCCTATGAAAAGAACCAACGATGCCTCCAAGGCTTTTGGCTTCGCACTTGGAAGGACGATGTTGACATTCATTGAAATTGGAAAGACTGCCCGGGGAACACGTTTGGCAGCGTGAGAGGCGTGTTACGTGAGATGCCAATTAGATGCCCAAGTGGAGATGTTGAGATATTTGGATATCCACACTTGAGTGTGGAGGGGAGATGGAGACTGGAGGTACAAATTTGGGGGTTGCCAGCATGTTGATTGTATTTAAGAGCTGAAATGGACGAGGTAACCAAGAAAATGAGTGTAGAGAAATGGAGGAAAAGGGAGTTCTGAGCCTTGTGCCTTTAAACATCTAAAGGCCTGGGATGTGAAGGAAAACCAGTAAAGCAGACCGAGAAGGAATGGCTGGTGAAAGGAAGTAAGAGTCAGGAGAATTTGGCATCCTCAAAGTAAAGTGTGTGTGGAGGCAGGGGTTGGGGGGGGGAGTGTTTAAAGGAAGTGATAGGGACTCAAGTGTGTTGAATGTTGATTAGTCAATTGAGATAAGGTCTAAGAATTGGGCTAAAGGTGGAGCCACATGGCAGTTACTGGTGACCTTGACAAGATCTGATAGGTGAATGGACAAGGCGAAAGTCCACTTGCAGTGGGTTCGGGAGAAATCGAAGACAGTAGTCATGGGTAGGTCTCGTTGAGTTTCTTCTGTACAGAGGAGTAATTGGGGGTGTGTGTGTGCGTGTGTGCGTGTGTTTTCTGGAATGGGTCATCGTGGTGAATGTCTTCATTATTCAGTATAAAAATGTCGAACCAAAAAGAAAGATAGCTATAGTGTTCTCTGGAGGACAAGGGGAGTGTATTCCCACTGGAAAATTTAAGAAAATGTTGATAGAGCTGAATGAATAGTAAGTTATAATTCAGAAGCAGCATTCAGAGAAGGCTACACTTTGTGAAGGATGTCTTCAGAGTTCAGAAAAAGAACATTGTGGGGGTAGAAGTTTTAGCTTAGAAGGCAAAAGATTTCAAAAATACACAGAATCAAAATGATGGTATCAAATAAACTTGGAGCCATTCTACTACTGTTTATGAAAGAATAGTTCATGCCAAACTGGCCTGAGAACAATGTGAATGGACAAGAAACAGCTCAACACCCACCCAACCCCCCAACACAAAGCAGCATAATTTCAGGAAGCAAATTGGAGACAACAGGAATAATACCTTGAGGTGAACCCCATGTTTGCTATTGTTTTCTTGTATATATTTTAGACTAATAATGGGGCATAGAGGCCAAGAAAAAGTGACACCCTCAAAATTTGTGACAAGCTCACTAGGCTGCCAAAAGGAATGACCTTGGGAAATGTCTCAGACTTTGAATTGACAACCTTGAAGGACTATACTCAAGGAGTAAGGGCAAACTCAATATAGACAAGTCCTCAAAACACTAGAAGCGGAACCTGGAATCAATGAAACCTGTTTAGATCCAGGTTATGTGCCTGTACTTTATATGACTGCCAGAAAAGTAATGTTATTTAAAGAAAGATAACATTACATGAAGTTTCCGTAATTTTAACATACAGTGTACAGCATTCAATCTAAAATTA